AAAAAAAAAAAAAAAAAAAAAAAAAAAAAAAAAAAAACATACGGTCGAATTGAATACCTCCTTCTTTTGGGAAGTCGGTCAAAAAGAAGTAACAAATAAAAAAAGTTTTTTCCAGTTTCTGTTAGTCTGTAATACGGTATTTACCGCTACATTAAAATTAATTATTATGTTCATTAAAGGTTTCATACAATTTGTATTATTTTAAAAGTTATCTTGAAGCTCCAAAGCACATAAAAATTCCGAGAATCGTTCCTAATTCAAATATTAAAAAAGAACCCGTTACATAAAAACTATTTAGATAAACATCGATGCGATAACAACGGAAGTATGAGATAACGTAGCCTCAGGCAATACCGTATTGCAATGAACGGACGCGGTAAAAAGAATAAAAGAAGCAGATGCTTGTATAAAAATATGCTTATCGCTTTCATTCTATTTAAGAAGAATAGAGACAACAATGTTTTAATACATTTTATAGAGGCATGTAGTAATTTATACATAGTTTCAGCTGAACAAATCATTGAAGATATCAAGTTGTTTACTTTCTTTTTGATACAGTTAACGTACGTTTCAAAATGTCGAATATTAAATGAGTGTTGTAGAAATCGCAATGATTTTGCAACTTTGCGATTTCTCCTCGTAAAATTTTAAATAAATTTCATTTGCACATACGAATCTCTAAGTGTTGAAAGCAATTTATTACATTTATTTATAACTTTTGTAAACAAGATACCAATTATTAGATTCTTGAAGAGAAAAGGGGTATTTTAGTACATGGTTCTGAAATTGGTACTTACTTCCTACTCAATGTTTAGTTATGCATTATGACGTCATATGACCTTAAAAACTCTTCCGATTGTAAAAAATAAATGTTTCATCACACCTTGAGTTTAAAAAGAAGTGAAAAATGTTGAAAATCAAGAAAAACTTGTCCTGATTGGTAAACACGGTCAATTCAATGCACTATTAATTATTCAAGTTTTAATATCTGTACCAACAGTTTTAAATTCTGGGTGAGTTATGTAAGTGGTCTAGATAACAACAGTGTAAAGAACTTAAAACAATCATAGTACATTTTTTTAGTTTTAATTATAAGGATTAGATTTAACAATAAAAGAAGCAGTCTTATACTGGTCTAAACTCTAACCACACTAGTAACAATTCTCACTAAGGAAAGGTACAGTCAAAGACAAAACTGTAACCATATTTAATTATTTATATTACAACAACCTTTGGTCAAAAATATCTTATATTTAATTAAACTAGAATTTCAATTCCTGTAACGATCCATCAATCCTTAATTAAATTAATCACATGATCTAAGTTAATTTAATATTAAAACTACTTAACAAAGTTAAATGTATTATTGTTGAAGTAAAGGTACAAAATATTATAAATAATCTTAAAAACAATGACCACATGATTACCATAACAAAACATATAAAAAACCGTAATGATGAAAGCATTTCAAGGTAGACAATTTCCCACACGGATGTACTAAAATTGTGACCTCAGAGCGTGCAATGGCGCAGGCCCCTCGCCCGCCGTGCTTTGACCTTGTGGGCACAATAGACTGACTTCGGCCCCACAGCCTCCATACAACGCTTGTTTAACATTTTACTCACACGTACGATCCGCTTTGAATAGCCAGTCGTTTACACGCCACGCATTTACATGCGTTCTCTCGACAGTAGAAAGTTAACTAGTAATAAATTCTTAAATCAATAAATAAATAACTCTTGAACAAATTTGTACGTGCTAGTGAATTGCATAATATATACAATAGCACATATAATAGCTCAAAAGTCGATGACGGCCAGTTTTTTTATGCATGTCCTCCCATTACGGGTAAAACGACCAGTAAAAATAGAGTCTATAAAAATGTATGCCTAAACTTATCCCGAATAAATATAAATAACTAGCTTTCGCCCGCGATTCCGTCTGCGTGGAATTAAAAAAAAAACAAAAGTAGGCTATGTGTTCTTCCGAACTTTTATGCCAAATTTCACAGAGATCCGAATAGCAGTTTAGGTTACAAACTCTAACAAACGTCCATCCATCTAAACGTTCGCATTTATAATATTAGTAAGATTGAGCTTCCTCTATAAGAACCTATTAGGAACATTAATATTTTTACATATGATGTTTTTATTGATAATTTGTTAAACTGATTTCCGTTATACCAATAAATCATTGTTAAGTTTTTAAAATGAATCATCTGTCGCATTGGTCAATAAAAGTTTATAACATTTTTGGAATAACGAATCGGAATTGAGCGCCGTTCTAACTGCAGATACTTTGTTACCAGCTAAGTTAAATGCCAAGGTGAACCGGTCGCACAATCACCGTACTGTCCGACAGATATGAAAATTACGTTTAATTCGCGAGCATAATCTTGAGGTATGATTTATACATATATTATATACATATTAGCTTCAATCCGCGACTTCGTACGCGTGGAATTTAAAAAGAAAAACAAGTAAGTAGCCCATATGTTTTTCCAGACTATTGTCTACATCTTTACCATATTTCATCGAAATCCGTTCAGCCGTTTAGGCGACAAACTCTAACAAACATCCATCCATCCATCTAAACATTCACATTTATAATACTAGTATGACTAGCTTTCGCCCGCGACTCTGTCCGCGTGGAATTAAAAAAAAACAAAAATGAGTAGCCTGTGTGTTCTTCCAGACTACGTTCTACGTCTAAGCCAAATATCACTGGGATCCATGCAGCCGTTTAGACTACAAACCCTAACAAACATCCATCTAAACATTCGCATTTATATTATTAATAAGAAGTAAGAAGTTAAATTAGATAGTTAGCAAAATTATTTGTGCAGTCATATGTAAGTTTATATTCTTATAGCATAGGGACATAACGTAACGTGTTCTATTTGAAATGAATATTACTCAACAAGGATGATGAAAGCGCTTTATGAACATGTAGTAAAGAAACTATCAAGTCCATAATGTAAACATTTGATTCAGTTCTTATAAGGAGACTGCAATAGGATCTATTTCAATTGCTACGTTCAGTATTTTCTTTATTAACCTACTTCCAAAAAGAGGTGGTCCTTAATTCGTCTGTATGTTTTTTAGAACAGTGGACGTTCCTTGTTTGGTAACGTAATTTATAACGTAAAAGAATAATCGGTAAAATTATTTTGCTACCAGTCTTTTCCTTTTTATTAAATACTAGCTGTACCAGTGCGGCTTCAACCGCACGAAATGTCAAAATTCAAATGCACAAATGAAAATTGCTTCCTTGATGTTGGCAGCAACTTATTGTCTTTTCCCACATTCGGATTTTTTCCAAAATATTTACCCCCTAAGTAACTAAAGAACTGTGTGTTAACGCTTTATTATAATAGTATAGACTAGCTGTTGTTCGCAACTTCGCCTGTGTGAAATTAAAAAATAATGAAAAAACATAGCCTATATTCACTGATAAGTAAGCTTTTTAATGGTGAATTTTAGAAATCGGCCTTGATGTTTTTGAGTTATTTCAATTAATACAAAAGTATACATATTTACTCTATAACATTAGTAGAGATGACTTTATTTATATATTTAAACATTTGTATAGTATTAAATTCCATCGCACGTTCAATGGTAATCATAACAAGAAGAGTCAGAGCTCAGAGTAGTGTTTACAAAACATAGATGCGTGGTATATGCGGCGTCTGCGTCGAAAGTTGATCCGTGGGATGAAAGTGAAATTGCTCACTTTCGAGTTTAACATCTTTGCAAACACCGTGTGAGTGCAAATGCAATTTAAATAAATTACTGGTTCGGAAGACGATGAGTCTACAAATATCGCTAACTGAATATGTCGCTATCTTTAGGTTTTTTTTTTTCATTACAATAAAAAGCTTAAGTTCGAAGACAATTTAAAATGGTTCTTTTATTCGCTTTTTTATTCTACTTCATGATGGAAACTACGATTTAAAAAACGACATATGTAGCTATAAACATTAACCGCCATTAATGTCGTAAAGTTGCTTAGATGGATGTTTGTTGTCAGTTAAATCCAAAACAGGTAAACAGATCTTGAAAGTCGACACAGAGATAGTAAGATAGAAATTAGAATTAAAAACAAGTGAACGACATTGAATTTTATGCTTAAGACTAGCTGTTTCTTGTAAAATTATGAAAATTTTATCATATTGTTTATGTGTCAAATTATCAATTGCAAATGTCAAATTGATATGTCATGATGACAAACCATGGCAACATTGCTTCCTTGATGTTGGCAGCAACTTATGGTCTCTTTCTCACATTAGGGTTTTTATCCAAAATATTTACCTCTAAGTTTATTGGCGTGCAAATATATAGCCTAAAGCGTGACGTAAGTGTAGGGCTTTTTATTAAAAAAAGATTGATTCAAAAATATGCTGTAATTGCTGAGATCTTAGGCAACAAAGAAGTGTGTGTTTACGCTTTATTATAATAGTATAGATTACAACAATACGAAAACATATTGAAGTGTCATATTTTTCAAAGAATCGGGAATATTTCGTACCAGTGTTTCGACAGAGGAAACCGACGTTTAGTTGTTCAATACATTTGTTATGAGATTTCGAAGAGGAAATATTTAACATCAGAAAAGTAAATTTCTCACGGGTTAAACGGAACATCAGAATTAACCACTTCTTGGCTATAATCAAGCAATTATGCGACATAAAGATATATGCTATAACGTGCAATTTACCACTATAAACGTTAGTTTCACTAAAATTGTTTTCGCATTAATTCGCAATACACGTAATAAGGGCTAGGGTCTTTAAATATAATACGACTAGACAATTTTAGTCCTCTACGAACCTTTTCTATTAAGGACAGGTTGGGAAAGTAAAGTATAATAGTCAAGGAAGCAAAGGTTTTTCGATTTATATTCACCGTCCAGTTAAAGTGAGAAATCAATCAATTTGTTTGCCGCTTGTTAACATTAAAGAAACATTTAAATACTTGTATAAAAAAATCTCGTGATTCTGACATGTTATGCGATATGACGAGGAAATAAACAAGATATTATTAAGATTAAATGTAAATCCTCTGTAGCTACAAAGGAAAAACCGAAGAAAGTTTGGATGGATTGTGTGAAAGAGGATATGCCCTAAGGAGTATGGAAAAGTAATACATCCTGTGCCGACCCTCCGTAGGGACAATGGCAGGTTGATGATGATATAAAAGTGTTCTACATACCTGTCCCTTAGATATGATGAAGAACGTATCACCACGCGCGCCCTGCCTGATGATGTAGTCTCCATTCTGGTAGTGAGTCTCTTCTAAAACATCCGAGATCTTTATCAACGTGTCTTCCGGTAGGTTCTTGAAGATCGGAACACTGTGAACAAATTATATCATGTCACCTCTATTACTTCAAAAGGAGTGAAAAGGAGAACGATATGTTTTTGTACCGCCATTGGACACTCGCGGTCATTTTGGATTCTTAACAAACAACCAACTAATTCAATATATTCCATAAATTATTAATTAAATTAAATTTAGTTATTTGACCTTTGTCAATTAATTTTTAAATATCAAAAGTGAATGTTGATTTAGTAATGTAAAACTTCCTTAATATCAAGATATGGTCTAAATGAAACAATAAAAGTAATTTAAGGTCAGTTGCTCATTCAAGTACGTTCGGAATCAGAATGTCATTTAATAATATTTAAATATTACTAATACTATTACTTATAAATTAAAATTATACAAAAAGGTGGAATTATTTTACGCAATTTGAATACAAACCTGATTCCAAAATCTAGTTTAATATATTACTTCGGAGGAGCGTGGTTTAGTTCTTAGTAAGGTCTTACATCTTAATAACAAAACTTACGTGTTGTGTTTAATCACTTCTCCTGTCACTATAAGGTAAGCTTCAGAATTTAACTATACATACAATACATAACTGATATTTTGAACAACCTTCCTGGCAAATAAATATAAAAATACAACATAGAAACCAAGGCTCACGATTATGACTCAAACTCGAACTGACCAATGAGTGCAATATAAACGTATTTTATTTATAAAATCATAATGTACTGTGAATCATTAGTGACAAGTTTTATTTCTTAATTCATTTTTATTCAGCTATAATGAATCTATTTGAACACTGAATTTGCGAAACAGCTATTTCACGGTCAACGAGTTATATTTGAAACTAAATAAAATGTCTTAATTATTATACATAAGTATTACATGATTTTCCTAACTTATAAATAAATCAGGTTTATTAAATTTGTCGTACGTCGTGATGTCAAATAAATGAACACTGTTATATATTTTTTTCGATATACTAATAGTGGACTTGTCTACGCCTTTACATTTTTAACTTATTAGGAAATTTGTAATGAGATAAATAAATATGAAATTAAATTTAACGTAATTCTTTAAAAAGTAGTTTAATAATAATTCAAACAGAATAACACTTTAAACACCAAGCGTGTATTTTATACATGCGTGTACAAAAGTTCTTAGACAGTAGAAACCCAGTAAGAGTGCAATTTTCCGAGGTAATGACTTGGTATTTTATATACCAGGCATCTCAAATGTCACGCACATTATTTATAATGAATTAAATTACTAGGTAAGTATGTCAGATAATACTCGTGTATCACTTGTGAAACGTAGCTGTGTCAACATGTTTAATTATAAATGAACGGATGTTAACGTAAACATAGTTTAGAATAAGATTGTAAAATTCCACTGATAAGTTCCAGATTTGAGTGACATATAACGGATGTCTAAAGTAAAAAATGTATTCGGGCAATAAATATCCGATTATGCAAAATCTTCAATGATATAAGTATCTGACCGGACTAACAGAACGGGCGCACACCTCTGACTAAACTATCGCAACAGTTGTGCGATTGTCAATTGTTTTGCAGTTAATTCAACTGTTTAGTTGCCCAACTAAAAATCGAGAAGAATCTTAAGACTAGCTGTGCCCGCGACTTCGTCTACGCAATATTAAGATGAAAAAAGGAGCCTATAATATGCCCGTCTGTGTCAGCTACCCTTCAGTGAAAGTCCGGTCGAAATGGGCCCAGCTATTTCGGAGATTACCTGGAACAAACGCTGCTTGCGGACAGACAGACCAACAAAAATTTTTAAATGACATTTTCATTATCAGCAACGCAAATGCATCATCTTCCCGAAATCTGGATTTTTTCTTTTTTTATCACATTACATTTAAAGATTACTAATTTGTATCAAGAAACTTGTTTATTTAATTTTCGTAAGTTAAAATTACTAAAGCAAAGTACGTGATGACAAACATTGGAGTGAAGCGCAGCACCAGTTTTAAGAGCCGGTTGCATTGATAAAGGATATCACGTCCTCGGTGACACATCGGTTCGAGTGAAAGGCCCAACACAAATGTCACGATCCAAACGAACGCGACAACTATTTCGCAAAGCACGAGTCGCTTGAGCAACTCTACCGCGATTGAATTTCGTAAAGACTTTGTTTCAAGAAAAAATAAACGCCATTTTAAATCAAAGCAGTTATGAATAGGTGCATTTCGTCTTATGTTTATGATAATGAGGTGATTAATTGTTCATTAATAATGTTCGTTTTTTCTCATTATTAAAGACGAATAAACAAAATTATTCTCTTTTAGTTATTCACTTAACACTTTCAATGCTATCGACTAGCTTTGTAACAACACATGAAGATTGTAGTCGCATTGAGTGTGTTAATAACTCGGTCCTTACAAATAAGTTCTCACGTATTGTAAACAAAGGCTTCATATTGCGAAGTATTGTTTAACTAAATTATATGTCATCATAAAAAACGTTACTGTAACATGAGTCTTGGTTGAGCCACAGAACACGGTCGGACCACCACAGCGTCAGCTTTACTAAGGAATCCTTATCATTTTATGAAACAACGTAACTCTATACCTTTCACAATAAGGGGTAGAGTTACATTGGTATGTTGACACGGTCCATAGGTTCAAGTTTTATTTATTCCATACCTAAAGAAGCATTAAGAAAATGAGATCATTTGCACTAAGATTTTTAAGTAGGCATTGCTTAATTAACTTTAAATAGCTGTTGTCCGCTCCATGTGAATTAAAAAATATAGCCTATGTTACTCATAGATAAATGACCTTGCTAGTGAAAGAACTTTTAAACTGGGCCCAGTAGTTTCTGCGTGAATTAAATACATACAAAAATCCAAGAAAAAAATCTTTACTGTTTATACATTAGTATAGATGAAAACAAGCAATTGTCAAATGAGAGATTAACATGTTATAAAAGGCTACGAGTATCTAACATCTAATTTAATTTTACTAGAATAACATAATAGTGAAACGAGGCAGAATTAACGAGATTAAAGACAGGAAGTTAGTAATATTAATATACGGGTAAGGGAGGGAGAATCTGCTCTAGAGAAACCAGAAGAATAGACGTCAGGCCGCATCTGCATAAGTGTCCGAGGTCAACATCCTCTTTGTCATCCCGCGACCTCGCATTGCTATGCACTTTACAAGAAAGCAAATAAAGTTCACACAGCTATTAACTAGATTAATCCTAATATTAGTCTGAAGTTACTGTTTTGTGATTTATTATTATTCACATTACAAATAAATTAATACACAAAGAGAGCTTTACGAGGCCCGCTTGTACATCTATACGAATAAGATTTGTATTTTTGTATGTATTGAAATAACTCAAAAACTACTGGGCCGATTTCAAAAATTCTTACACCATTAAAAAGCTACGTTATAAATGATTAACATAGGTTTCATTTTTTTTAATTTCACCCGGACGAAGTCGAGAGCAACAGCTAGTATAGTGATAAAAATTAAATAGTATTTTCTTACATACTTACGACTATATTAATATGAATTCAGATTACTTAACCTCTCATTCGTTATCCTTAACCTAGTGAATACTATATTCAGCATAAATTAGCTACGAAAATGTTTAAAATTTATTTTTTCCCTTTGAACAACAGTTCTTTTATAAAACATAATTTTAGCATCAGTCTCAATGCTTCAAATTCACAGGACGCCAGTACATAAATGCTCGTAAACCAAAGTGCGTTGAAAAGATTACCATGTGTTAAAATAATTGTTGAGCCGCATGTTGAATTAACACGTCAAAACAAATTGCCGGGCCCGCTCGAGGGTACCGACCTCACTCGTAAACAGAACTTGAAAGGAAACATCAAAGAATTTTTTGAACTTTTTACGCTCGGTATGTTAACAAGCGTTTTAATTCATGTAATACGTGGTTTATATTTAAAAAAATACCTGTTGCCCGAGATTGTTCACGCCATATTAAGATAAAAAGTAGCCTAAACATGCCTGTCTATGTCAGCTACCCTTTATTGAAAGTCCGGTCGAAATAGGCCCAGCCGTTTCTGCCGTTTCTCGGCTTGCAGACAGACAGACAAAAAAAAATTAAATGCTATTTTCGTTATCAGCAACACAAATATAACATCTTCCAGAAATCTGGAATTTTTCTTTCGATATTAAAAACAGACACTTCAATTTTATTATGTGTATAGAAGATTAGATTGACATTATTGAAGTTTTAGAACAAATAACCTTTTTATGTGATAGAATAAACAATGGTTATGGTCGACTTTTAATGCCACCAACTTGAAGAGTTCTCTTTTTTAAGAAAAACCGTAATATGATGGAACCTGTTAAATGGTTAGAGATCGTCGGTGGTCAAGTTAAATAGACAAATAAGAAAGTGGTTACAACACCTTACATTCAAGGCGGTCTTATATTTAGAAAAAAATATAAAAAATAACAATGGACTTATAACAAAGAAGTAAGTTATTCTATTGATGTATAAAAAAATATAACGAACTAAGTTTTTGATAAAATTTTGTAATATTATCAAAATATATCTTTCTATTTAAATTTTGCAACAACGTGACTTTTTTGGCATACAAAGTGACAAACATATGCTATCGCGGCAAAAATAACGCATGAAATGTGTGATTTCTCAAAATTTTAATTGCATATTTATTTAAGAAAAAGCAACAATGTATAGAAAATTTAAATTTCGTGACTATATGTTGAAAGAAAAAGTTATTACTAAGAGACGCGTGTCAAATCGCAGATAAATTTATATTGAATACTCGATTTGTTTTACAAAATGTATAATTTAGATGATAAAAGTATTCCCACTATTCTAAAGTAATAAATTAACAACTATCAATTTGAATAAACTTTTTATATTATTAATTACAAGCTACGTGAAACGTGAAATTAAATAATAGTTAAAAAATATAACCTATGTTACTCAGCGATAACATATCTTTTTTATGGTGAAATAATTTTAGAAAAAGGCCCAGTGATTTTTGAGTTGTTTCAATATATGCAAAAATACAAAGTTTTCCTCTGTATAATATAATTATAGATTAGTGATTAACTTAATTTAATAGAGCAATTGATTTTTTTTATCAATTATCAAATCAATGACATAGATAATTTCATTGTTGAAAAATTATAGAAACTACTAGAATCTTAAACTGTTAATGTATTATTATTTTGATTTTTAAAACAATGCTAACAGGATTAAAAGGTGTGTAATTTCTCTTATCGATAACATTCAGGTTACGCTAGTTACCGATCAATAACGGTATTTAACACTGTTACTAGAGGAATTTAACATGCCGTGTAACAATACCTAGGCAATTGTACGTAAACATTTGGGATCAACAATTCTGTACTACATGATATTCAAGACAATAATGTACATTTTTGCAATTTCTAAGACATTGATGTTTCGATTTTTTTTTAATTGTATTTAAAGACATTTAAATTTGTAAATTTTTCTCAATCGACAAATGGAAGATAAACAAGGGAACGTTTGCACTATGTCGCCGTGTCAAAGATTATAAAGTTTGACATGTCGATTTGTTTTTCTCTAGCGTACATCGGCGACTTGATTTTTTAACTAAAACATTAATTAATTTCACAGACTCTTGGGTGTATATTAATATGGAAGTGTCAAACAAGAACTGTCACATCATTAAACATCCGGCGCAGTGTTGCCAGTGTTCAATTTGTTTCATCTATAATTAAACACGTCTTACCGTAGCTTTTGTAACAAACAGGCGTAGCGTAACGAAAACGGACGTCCTCGCTTCGTCGACCATAAATCCTATCTTTTCGTTTTACACGTAAGTAAATAGAATTGAATTTAGAAATTCTATTCAGAGATTACTTCACATGTTTTAAGGATATTGATTAACTGTATTTTTAACAATTAAAGTTATTGAAAACCTTAACGTTACATTGAAGAAAAACGCATGAGAATATCATCATCTCATAGTCTACAATGAGTTACGGGCACGATAATCTAGGGCACTTTATTTTACAAATTCTTCACTCAACATTTTCCACTTCCATCCATCATCTATTCCCTCCCTCCACATGGCCAATAAAATAATGTAGCACAAAATTTACCTCTTAAGGAAGTCCGTGTATTCAGCTTGTCGTATGAGACCGGTACGCATCATAATAGTTTGGAAACATTGTCGCTCGATGGCCCACAAGCGACAGTCTGTTGCCGCCTTGATGGTGGCCGTCCTCTTGCAGTTGTACAATATCGCCAGTTCCCCAAACACCTTGCCGGGCGCCATCGTGCTGAGGTATTTGTTCTCGCGCGAAACCTCCACTCTGCCCTCTGTAAAAACATACAATAATAAAATCTTTGCTATATATGATTAAGGCCTTTAATGGCTTGTGAAATATCTATCATAGTTTGAATCCGCGTTCCTTTAATTTATGTACAAAAATAAATGGAATGTTTGAAGTAGTTTAAGGCAAACTAGAAGGTAATTATTGCAATCGATTAATAAAATGACAAAATAAACATCAAAAGTAATTGTGGATAGCCTCGATAAATAAGTAATCTAGACATAAAATTCAAATGAACCTAACCTGATTTTAAAAATAAATTTAAAAGTAAAATGTAATTATTGTGTTTTATGAAAGAGCTGCATGAGGAATTTTATTAATCAAATCCTAGATGACGTATATTAATGACATGAAAGTTAATCATTAGCAAACTCTGAGAGGGCCAGTAAATTATATCGACGCAGTATGAAGAAACGTGATCGTGACTTGAAGTAGCTTTTACCGTACTATAAGTTAATAATGGACGTAAGTACATACTAAACAATAATAATAAAGAATTGTTATAACCTTACCAATTTAACCTTTCTTAATTTTAGGTTATAACCTACAAAGATCTTTAGTTACTCTCTTTTATGCATTCACTACTCTATGATGTTGCGGTGCAGGAATATTTAGTCTTACCAGCCCATCACTATTAACACTTTCATTTTTCTATCACACTATCGTAGTGTTTTATTAAACTGGTCATTTCAGTAACATACCTAATTAAAAAGTTAAAAACCAGATAACCGTGAGATCAATCTAAGTAGTGTGCGAAATTAACCTACAACGGATACAAGCACTTACGAATTATACATTTTTAACATCCGTTAAATCTGGTACAGCATCCGTTAAAAAATCTATTCATTCATAAGAGTCCGGAATACCGTTATACAAGAACATTAAAATTAATGACAACACGTGTAATTATTAACAAAAAATACTATTAAATATAATAATAATTATTACTTTTAATTATAATAGTAATTTGTGGTCTAAATACATAGAACGATTTGTGATAATTGACATACTGATCAGTAATAGATTTATTATTAATATAATTTCTTTTGCTTCTACATATCTTAATTGTAATAAATATTACAGCGGTTTTTTATTGGCAAATACCCGCAGAAAGTATTGTCATACATTTTTTTTTTAAATTCGGGATATATAAAGAACTAATTACTTTACATACTGGTACATAACGCGTGAACTAGTCTTAATTTACCTTTTGTTAATATAAATATCATTGTTTGCGTGGATGGATGTTTGTCACAAGACATTCCCCAGACGGCCGCATGGATATAGATGAAATTTACATAAGACATATAACACTGTAAGAACACACGCTACTTACTAAGTTTGTTTTATTTCGCTCGGGCGAAGTCGCGGACAAAAGCTAGTCCAACGGGATTTTCAATAAAATATCGCAATTATCATTGACGCAACATATGAATAAAAAACAACACATTTCCAAGTAAACTTACGATTCAATAAAACACCTGTGTAAATCTATAACATATTTACTACAAACTGTTTTAATTAAACAACGATTATTTTAATTACATCATAAAACTAGTTCATAGTATGAATTTTAAGTACTACAAATATTCAATAAGAAATCAGTACTAAGATTTAAGATAAATAGGTATTTTTCACGTATTACTGTCATGTATGCTGTATTCGCCTATTTTTATTTACATTCAACAAATTGTCACTTTTACTTTGTCGATAGCATTACAAAATAACTACTTGAACTGGCAACACACAGTTTCTAACGCGTTTTCTAAGCTAACGTCAAATATATGTTTTCACACGTAAAGGAAATATTCATATTTTAATTTCTACAAAGTAAAATTTACTACTTTTACTTTATTTGCAAATATAAAGAGCTGCAGAACTCAACATTGGATTTCATGTGATCCGTTTGATTTAAAAAATTGCGATAAAAAATGCAAATGTAATTTAATCTTTCCTAAAAAGAAAAACAAGAAAATAAAAAAAAAACGAAGCAAAACCTTTAGCATTACGTAAATAGCTTGCAATAAAAACTTGATATTTTAACGTTACGTTTGGTTATTAAGAAAGAAATTTCGAGTAATGCTAAGCAATAAGCGATTTACACTTGCACAGGACATGTCGATCGAAACGATCGAAATTCGCAAGACCGTCGCAAATTACTTAGCGATGCGGAGAACGAAAGTGTTCCAAGGCTCCAACGCAATGCGAACGCATATTTTAGGTCACAAGTTCGATTCAAATACGCGGCTTCGATATCTGTGGGTCTATTGCGAACATTTGCGAGAGAACGTATTCGTAACATCGTATGAGATATGTTAGTTAGTGTACTTTACGTTGGTTGGAGCTGCACTAATCTATTACTTTCTCAATGATGATACAAAAACCTTCTCACGAATATTCTTAATAACCGCTCCGAACGCCACCGAATGACGTAAAGAAAGCAAATAATAGTTACTTCACGGAAGAAATAAAACTTTAATGCACCTATTAAAGTCCTATCTGTACATAAACAGTTGCATTAAACTAAACACTATGATAATATTTTATTCTGAACGAATGTACTAACTCTTGTTACCATAGTATAGTTTGGGAACTCTAGAATAGAAGCAAATCTACTAGTTGACAGATGCATTTTGCATTATATGCACTTTAACTTTATTATTCGATTATACATGACTCGACTAAAAGTAGGTCAAAAGTGAATAGTTTAATCGATACTAGACGTGTTAGCTGTCTAAGATTGCATGCAATCGCATATGAATCTAATATAGCAACCTTACCACACTAAAAAGTCTCTCGTAAAACCCTGAATTCGATACACGCGGCGTTCTTATACAGTCTACCAAAAAGTTTCTATCGTCAATCAATGTAACTAGACTGTCGAATATAATTAGCTTTGTTGCTCGCCGTAGAAACAAAAACGCATGCAAGGAAGTAAGACATTATTGGAAGGTTTCCGTAACCACGTATTTTCTTATTATACATGCATAGTACAAGTACAAAAAACTCATATATAAACCCTTGGAATAATAGTCATTACACTTTATTAACTGGTTTTCATTTTAATGTTCTTTCTGTACTGTTTCAAATATTTTATTTAATAGTTTGCAATGTTAAACGTAGTATCGTAATTGCGAAACGATTACTAAGAATCTTTGTCTCTGAATGCAGTACTAATCAAACGAATTGAATGACGTTCATTTAATGTTTATTGAAGACAAAGGCTTGCAATAATAGATTATATAGCAAAACACAAAGAATGCTGTGGACTTTAGACTTTGACGAAATCTGATCGCTTTAACAACTGCATACTAAATATGATATTGAAGACATTGTCATGTTTAACATTTAAACGATTTTTACTTTAAGTTCATTATTATCTATTAAACCATTTAAATATAGTCAATTCATTATTGTGTTTAGTATGCCTATGTCATACTGGAACTAATCATCTTTGAAAATGATCACTTACTAATATTAATAACCTTAACACGACTACATATGTTTGCTGGTTTCTCTTAGTTTGTCCGCAACATTTCATCAGATGTACCAAACATTATACAATATCTGAAAAATTATAACGACCTCGAGAACGTCTTATGCAAAGAGGCATCAATCAACATCAGTACACAAGAGATCAAAACAATAAGATAAAGTAATACATCATACGATAAAATAATACCTCGAATGTTAGCGTTTCTATTTTTAGATTTAGCGATAGAAAATTAAATAATTTTACCTGAGTCTTCGTTTTCACCAGACGCATTGTTAGAATCTTCTAGACGTGACACATCGAGTACCACACCGGCGTCGAGTGTCGACTCCGTAGCGTTACTATCACGCTGACAAAGATTTCCAGTACGTCTTTTTCTAAGCCCATACGTGTGGACCGGCACAATCAATTTAGGACGAGGAATAGAAAAGTCAGAATCCGAACCACTTGATGAACTTTTGGCACTTCTAGAGAATACACCGTTCGTGTTAGTCACTCGTTGTTCACTTATCACATCTTTTGGTTGAGTTAATGATAAAATGTCATTATACCTATCGTACCTGTCTTCACTTTTCACCCTCACTGTATTATACAACTTTCCATACTTATCACGTTTGATTTGTTTTAAAGCACCGTTAGTAGTCCGATAGTCACTTTCTTTCGCTTCATCAAACGAGTGAAATCCGTTGATAGTCGCAGGTTGCTTTTGATTTCCATTAAACATATCGTACTGCATTAACGTAAGCTGCTCGCTCGGAGAAAGGTTCCTTTTCGGCTGAGTGACCGTCACACTATTAAACGCTTTGCTATCATTATTTGCTGTGTCGAGATAGGCACGAAGCGGTGCCCTACCTTCGCTTTTTACTCGCATCGATTTAGAACGAAAACTGGGTTTTACGTCATCTGCACGTCCGCTTCGCTCGTTCTCTTGTTGCGTAGTGCGCTCAGGAAGTCGATCGCATGTAGATAACGATTCCTTAATAGGCCGCATATATAAGCCTAAATCATCCTCTTCACAATCCGTGTCGAGGTTCTTTTTAGATCTGGCTTTAATGGGTGTTAAATCTAATGTCGCCATAGAGTTTATCAGGTGATACATCGTGTCTCCACCATTGTTGTAACCCCGAACTGTGCCGTTTTGTTTCATTTCGGTGTTTGAACTTCGCTCTTTCTTAGTATCTTTCTGTAACTTTATCTTATCGCTGTCGGTATCATTGTTCTGTTGACTTACTCTTGAATAATATTCATAATATGATTCAGATGAAGGATCTGGCGGTACTGGACCGGGGTCCGGTAACGGATAATATGATTTCTTAGAGTCCACCTTCCTTTGCCTGTGTGCATATCTTAGGGAATCTTTTCTCTGTGGAGGTGCGGGAGCTTCGCGCTCGTTCGAACCAAACGCTTCAATATCCCACTCGGTAAAGTTCCTACGCTTTACTCGTCGTAGAGTAGAAGGCTTGTATCCATTTGGCATATCCTTAAAACTATAGCTATGTTTTAACTTATTTTGACTAATAAGATCGTTGTTGGCTCTGGCTTTTTCTTCTATATCTTGTTGATACTTGGCTAGTGGTGAAATGTTTTCACTAGGAACATTTTGATCTGATTTATAAGTATCGTCGTCAAAAGAGCTCGTTTTGCTGATGTCTTTGTCGTTGCGTCCGACGTCGCGGCAGGATTTGCTCCTGGATATTGAGTTAAATTTGACCTTGTTGGAACCATTGTCGTTTTCATTATAACTGCTAAGATTGCTGGCTCCAACCCAATTTGCAGCATAAACAAGGTCCATAGTCCTATCATTGATAGAAAGCCAGGGGTCCTCCATGACCGCTTTTCCTGGATAATGTTTTAATTTCATAATGCAACGGAATCCACAGATGTACTATCAATAACGTTTTTTCTTGATTCACATAAAGCGTTAACTGTCGACGAAGACTTCATTTTTCTAAAATGATTGTCACTGACTAGTTTTATCATTATATTCTGTTTTACGACAAATTAAATATTTAGCATGAGATCCTTTATTTAACTACACAATCAACCTAAATGATAAAAAAGTAATTTATTGTATTTGAAAAAGTTAAATAATTTTGCAAGGATTTACTAACATTTTCTTGATTTTCGAATGTATCATAATTAGTATTACGTAGAGCAATTGTAAACAACGTGGTAAAAACTTCAATGGTGGCAGATGACGCAAGTGTCGATCTCACACACTACGTTGCCACACATCTTCAGCTTGCTAGTAATAATTTTGTAATTAATATGAATTAACAGCCGTCACAACGCCACTAAATGAAGCAATGTGTCACGCAATGCATGACTCAAACGAGAAATAGCTCGAAACGCAACTTTAAGGTACTTTATAAAGGATCTTACATCAATTTAACGCAAACAAGTCTATTTCAGACTTCTGACTCATAACCAGTCACATTTAACGTGAGAAAATATTGCTATACAATGGAATTTGAAATCAATTGACAGCTTTTGTTCATTAGCTTAGTAGTAACAGCCTATCTCTACGTATTAGATTTGATTCCTGACTGAAGCGATAATGTGTCATTTTAGTCCTTATGAATTTTACCAATCATTCTGTTTCAATCAGTACAGTTACAAAAAGGGTATATAAAATAAATAGAACAATTTTTAGGTTATGTTTGTAATGGGTATGAAATGTAAAGCAATATAATACCGGTCACGTCACGGGATACGGACACGTGTTATGCAACGTCTTTGGCCGAGGAACTCCAAATAAGGTTGGCATGAAGTTATGAAATATCGCCTTAAATAGATACACGTTATGTGAATATATCACCGGGTAAAGCCCAATTTATATTCCGATTAACACTTTGCTTCTGATATGTTCACTTATTGACTTCAATTCAAGTAAAATACACGTATTGAAATCTAAAACGAAACGGTCAGTGACTGGTTAATTATATTTTCTATAGTCTAATTTAAATAATTGGCAACCCTGACTAGATTTAAAAGTCAAACCAACGAATGCAAATGGGATTAAGTTGAGAAATAGATAACAAGGGCAAGCGGCAAGCGGGATAGACGTCGGAGAGATCTGAGCAAACTCTTGGAGATGAACTTTCACTGGGAAGCATAATATCTAGGCCAATGGACATTAGATACGTAACATTGGAGAATATATTAGAAACTTATGTAAACGATGGTGAGATCAAAGGTGTTGATAGAATAGCGACGGGCTTTACGAGATCTTCAGTAGAGTTTTTTTTTTAATTAAAAAACCTACCGCTTCAGCACTTCAGACTTTTCACTACACATCCTTATCTTTCGACCACAGACAAAATATATAGATTAAAAAATCCAAAATCAAATAATGATACGTTCGAACTATAGTTAAGTAACCCATTAAACCGGTTTTAAGGGCTCGCAGACAATTAAAGTGTATAAGTAAGGTAACTCATTAATAAAATGTTCATTAAAATAAAAACATTCTTGAGCATAAGAACTAGTTTGGTAGCGAGTCACGAGAACCAAATATAATTTATGAATTTAGTTGAACTTGGACTAAATTTAATTAAAAGTTTCAATGAATGTTGCACTGTCAGTCGAACCTTGGATAAAGCCTTGTATATCTGTTAATATTACCAATTCTTTTTGCAAAGGTATTGAGTAATAAATGTACAAAATAAAAACATTCATGCTAACAGAACAGTAGGCAGAGATGATAAATTTTAAACTTAACATGATCATAACTATTATAACCTACATTTACTTATATTTTCTCTCATTTTTTTTATTCTTAATATTGTCTTAGTTTAGTTTTGTCTTGAACGTCCCTAGTATCTCAAAAGTTTACTGAGTCATTAACTTGTCATAGTATTTCTTTCTACATTAATTCTTTCCTAGTCTCCAGGTTTACCTTTCTCGTTCACAGTAAAACGTCTTCATTTGTTTTTAAAGTCACCATAATTGTGCAAATGCACAATTCAAGTCAAGGCCTATAAGAATTAGGTTTGAGTACAAAAGAACGACTTATCTTCAAGACTAAACAATAGAGACATTCAATTTGTTCTTTGTTTTCATTACAAGCATTCAACCTACAACACCAATGTTTGAAAAACAAAACTTTTAGCCATGACCCAGCGAAACAGTATTCTTAAATAATCTGACTAAATACGGACACTGTTTGGTTACAACTACTTTTAAAAATAAATCAAGACATATAAAAAAATCCAGTTATATTTATAACATTAGTCGTATAAATATGAACAAACCATTTATTTATAACTTACATACCAGTATAAGTTAATAAAAAATAAATATCAACAATGGAATGGACATAATTTTCCTATGAATCTCTGTTTACAGAAGAAAAAAATGTTTGTTAATCTGGGAATGTCGTGCATAAACAAATATCTATTGTCTTTCACCCTGTAGTTAAGCAAAAACAAATAGATAATACGATTTACTTTTATCCAGTATCTGCAGTGTATGACCACACACGAAGATAATACGAAAGTAAAAGATAACAGTTAAAAATTCAAAACACAGCTTGCTCGTTAAACAAACAATGTAACAATGACCTCCGAAGCTAATTCAGACTAAAGCACCACTTGCCTTAAGTAAAGTGTTAAAGACAAGCTAACGTGAGCTTCTACCGACTTATTCGAACACTCTCATAAAGTGATATTACATTATTATTATTATTACACTAAAATTTGTTATAGTAAACAATATGGTTGTTTAAATTCATCATTTTAGTCAAGACTTTAAGACTCATATGACAGTAAAATATCCAAAATAAAACTTTACGGGCCTGACCCACCTTTGAGTGGAGGCTCAGATGGCTTAAAAATGACGTCACTGTCAGGTAGTTACAAAATCCGATATTTCTATTACATATTTACAAGAATTTGGTAGGAATGAGTCTAATACTTTTATACCTAGACTAAAACTTTAATACCTAGTCGCTTTATCACAAGATGGAGGTCAAATGTAAGTCTAATTAAAAAAAAATCCCAGTAAGCTAAGTGTAAATGAGTTGATAATTAACTAGACACATGATCAAAGTAATAGAAAACGATTTCTAGACATCAATAGATAGACGAGTTGAAACAAGTTCATTGTACCACATACCCAGTCGACTGGCCAGCTATGACATGAGAAATCTATCCAGGAATATGAGAAATCATCACATTCATTATAATATTAATTTCATTAAAAACAATTGAAGTTTATTCTAATTCAACCACCTATGACTGTAGGCCTATCTTATGTGACTATGGGAATTTAAATCGAATAATATGAAATACAAAAAACCCCACACTAATAACCTTCTACTCGTATAAAACTTAACTTGTTTTATTAAACCAATATAAGGGTAATCAAAGTAATGAATCACAAACATTTTTTGTTATTAAAATAAAGAACAGAGCGTATTTAATAAACAAATAGTACTCGATAAATTCCAAAGCTAACTTCAATACGCGGGTAGTGCATCTAATAATACTCGTAGCTGTACCCCTTACAATAATCCTATAAACCACACCTGGAAATACAATACAATCGTTTCGAAACTAGTCGTACAGTATTCTTTGATGTATGAAGCAAATAAAAAGTTACAGATAAAAAACTAAAAGAGACAAATCAAACAAAGCTCTAAAAAAACTTTTTAAACGAATAAATCCTTCTGGAACCCATAAACAGCACTAACAATTAGGTTACAAGTATAAAAACCAATAATTTAATTCCATCACGTATGAAACCTCGAATTCTATTGATTCACGACGAACGGAGTGTTCATAATTTTATTCATGGAACTATTATTAGTGGTAAACATAAATAGCTAGACGGGTTTATTTCGATGTAACGGTATGTCAGGCATACAGACAGTACTTTCCATTGTTATATTTGGATGACTCAGTAACTAACAGTCGGTAAATGTTTATTTAAGCAGTCCCTTAGACTTATAGATAATTAAAATGATGGAATTAGGTCAATTAAGTACTCTGTGGCAACCAATAATGCAAATAACATTAATACAAATGATGTGAGTTATGGCAATTATTAGTTTTAAAAATCATTGTTTTTCCCCTAAGATAATGTACCTAGCTAGATTTATCCGATGTCATTACCATTCTTATTAAATATAATAATGTAATTTTTAATATATGGCAATTTTTGAAAATAAAATATCTCGGTTTAGATAGTTAAATTCTAGGTTATTAAAACTTAATTAATGTGTAAATAAAATATGTTTGTTTACTAAAAATTTTACTAAAAAACACAAAGAAATATATGGGAATATGACTTACTAATTCATTGTTTGTATCGGAATGGTATGACTACTAAGAAATGAACAATAAAATACGCAGATAGATACAAAAATGGTTCCATTCAGCATGTTTATATTTGCTTCCTTTGATAATTTCGAAACTATTCCTATTGTTGTTATGACAATAGGTGCATTATTTAGCTTGCTGCCTTTCTATGGTTTACGAGGCTTATTATTCCAAATAGCTACTTCACGATAAAATCATAATAACAGTAAATTGTTCACCGCGCATCATAATATTAAATAACGTACTGCACGGTCCATATATCGTTGGCATTGAAATGATTAAACAAGGCGCAACTTTCTAATATCTATTTGAATTGTAAGATGTATCAATCATGCATGCAACAATGAATATTATTGATTTTGTAAATCGATATCGATTTGCTTTGCCTATCTCTGTAATAAATAGATTTGAAAATTGCTTGACATTTGATAACAATCAAGGCTTCACTTAGTTTTATTCGTGACAAGATATACGATAACTAAAACGGTCAGATGTTAAACAAATCGTTCACCAGTAGCTTGCGTCATTGAGTCAAATCAAAACAACCAAGCCAAGGCACTGATGTCACTTAGTCTGCAAACGTAGAAAGCTCTCTCAACTTGGACATTAATATGCTAAAATATCTTAAGTAAAGACGACGCTTCAAAATACTTTCACGCGGACGATACACGCAAATACATGTTATTTGCAACACGACCTTACGTTAAAAGCCTTCAACTTTGATACTCTTTCGAACGTAAATGACACATGATGTGACAATCCGTAAATTAAATTTAAATACTACCGTACAGTTTAAAAATCCTTGCAAAATTATTGTAATAAATCTATTATCCAAACTAAAAACTTCAATTCAAATCAAACAATTATTTGTAGAAAAACTAGACACATTTCACTAAAAACTACACAAATCCTTCGAAATCTTTGTGAAGGGAACAGCTGCTAGCATATAAAAAACATTATATTATCACTGCACCTTTATACACCATGTTATACAAACATTTGAGAACTTATTCGCGCAGAAAACAAAAACTTGACGGTACACAAATCATTGTTTCTCACACGGTGTTATAGATCGCGTTTATTTTGAATTCGATGAGACCGCAACAAGACGTCCAATCACGTTGACGGCGCCCCGCTAACTGAATTTGATCGACTCCTGCGCATGCCGCATGCACTCTTGATGCGCGAGCGAGAGAGATTTAGACAGAGAAGAAAAATTTGATACCTGCATAATAAAAGCTCTAAGTTTTGATCATAATAAACACGTTATGCCCGACTCTCTAAAAGTGCTATTGGGGTGACAAATATTGACTTGTTTCATCGGTAAAGGGCTACGACAGGGGCTTTTAAACTTTTAATATTGGGGATTTATTTTATTAACTTTAACTGATTTAGTGAATTATGTGGTTCGGTAGTGCGGTAGTCATTACTCTACCGAACCACATAATCTTGAAACTTGAATTTCTTTATAAAAGCTGTAAGTCTTCTTCATGTTTTGTATGTTTTATTTTTCTATTCGGTAAAGGCAACACTTACCAAAAAGGATTTTCATTGCCCAATTTAATGCTGTTGTTAACGAAGCCAAATGAACTTTTCACTAAGATAAACTCAAGCATTAGTTATACAAAGTATCAATGAAGAAATCTAATTGTAAGGTTTAATAAAATACGGTATAAAGACTTCAAAACTGTTACAATGTCTTGTAAAAGTCGTAATTTTGAAGATATTCTTACAATCACTTTTGTTTTTTGCTTCTCTTCCGCGTACAGTAATATTTTACGTCAACAAACGTGATTTGGCTCGTAACTGCGGTTACTAGGGGACATTTGTCAGCTTGTCCACAATTTGACAGCCGATCAATCAGTAGCGTTACGTAAATGCGTAACCAACGTACATACATTTTCAGTTCACCTTTGTCTAAATTATCGCAAAACTGTTGCAGGACTGTCGATTGTTACGCAGCCAATTCAAGCAACGATACACCGTACCGTAAAGATGGAATTTTAATTTTAATACAGAACGTGTACGCGAATTGGCTTGTCCAAAAATAATTCGCCGATTATATCGTGTCATCGAACCCTTAATAGCATAATGAACTTTATATTTTGCCAAACGATATGATTATTCCAGTAAAATACTTACTTAACTCATTATTTAAGAAAAGAAACAGCTTCAGGAACTTTTAAAAACAAGTTTATAAAATTTGTAGTAAGTTACAGATAAAAACTTGAGAGTTTTGCATTTATTAATGTTTAGTAATACTCGTAGTTACTTTGATGTTTAGGGCCAGATCAAAATAACAAAGTTTTACAAACTACATTTTTTATAATAAAAAAGTCGCGCTACAGACGCTGATGTGCTTCACATTTTAAAAGAATTTATTTAAATTTATCATTAAGCAAAAATCCTACAAACAGTTATGAACCATCATAACAGAATGACACGTCATTTAACATCTGAATACTTCATAGGTTATTTTAAAACAAACAATTACTCATACACTGTAAAATCAAACAAGTCACCGCAATTATTATGACCGTCTTTATTTACTCTAAAATTGACAAACAACTATCCTTCTCCCGCGACTTCGTCTGCCTGAAATTTAAAAAAAAACAAAAGAAAGTAGCCTATTTGTTCTTCCAGGCTATATTCTACATCTATCCCAAATTTAACCGAGATTCATATAGCTGTTCAAGCTACAAATTCTACCAAACATCCATCTAAACATTCGCATTTAAAATGTTAGTCAGATTACTAAACTACCGAATAATCGTGCGATAACTTAGTCTCAAGAAGGTCCGACTGGTCTAAACTTAGTGCTGACATCGAACTAAGTATTCACAAGTAGCCTTTTAAGCTAGTTTTGTAATAGAACAAGAGAGTTTTAACAAATACAATAGTGTCACTCGTAAATTACATGGCCACTTAACAATAGATCGAATTGTGGTCAAATCACAATTATTTTAACATTTAAAAGGTTACCGTTAAAAGAAATATGAGTAAAATTTCATTTTATTACTTTCAAATACCTATTGAAAATAATATTTTGAGGTTAAAAGTTGAAATAATGAATTAACAAGAAACTTGAATTGGAATAATAAAACAAATGAACGTACAATTACCTTACAATTAATTTAATTACATTACAACAATTAATACGTTCTAAGCCTTAAATATGGTACAACCCTATCTTGTGATACGCATATTGCTGTTTCAAGTTTTTTAGTCCTAAAGAGAGAGATGGCGTTTTGTTTTCATTTAAATTTCGAAAGACACGGTTAAGATTGTAGACACAGATCCCACAGAGCAAATGTCGAATAACAGAGTGGACAAATAGACGTGGGCTGTCAAACGGTAGCGAGCCCACTCTGGTCCACTATTAAATTTCCTTTAACGTAGGCGTAAACGTTTTCGCACGCCTGTAACCTTAATTGATAGAATCGTATTCAGGGAATACAATTTTACCAGTATTAACCTTGTATAGATAAAGGTGGTTAATGGCGGAATAATAAAAATGTTATTCATCTCAAATATGCCAGAATTAGTATTATCGGAGATCGAAGAAGACGATTGTAATGAATAGGTTTAACTACTGGGCCGATTTTAAAAATTCTTTCACCATTAGAAAAGTAATACCTGTGAGTAACATAGGCTATATTTTCCCATTTCTTTGTTATAATTTTTTTTTAATTTCACGGGGAGTCGCGGGCAAAAGCTAGTCATAAATAAGACACACACAAGCGCTTGACCACAATTCCACCTAAACTGACTAAGTGAAGACGCGGTCGAAGGATGTAACGCTCTAGCTTAGTATGTACCGATTCACCGTGCTCTTAAAATTTAAAGAAACCAAAGATACTGAAATATCGGTTAGTCAAACGGAGGAATTACAAAAAGAAACACTGCAGCATCAATGTAGAAACGTGTCATCACAATTATGTGCATATTAATTTCAATCGAAGACTACCGTAATGTAAAAATTATTCACATCAGGAAGAGACTTAGACCATTAATATTTGTAATTTATTCAAAATAATTTGCAATATTGACAGTAAACTTCGGAAGTTAGATAACACAATTTTAAGATGGAAATGGAAAGTGACAGAAAATGGAATCGAAAGTAATAATCGATAGTTCGCGGTGACATCGGTTAGGGAAAAGCTAGAACCAGAACAATGATTATACAATCCAATGAAGCGTATTGACAACGTAACTAACAATGTTTGATTTTGAATCCATCAATTAGTTTTGGTACATTAAAACATTTATGATTTGAGCGAAAACAGTTAAAGCGGGTGCACACCTTTAATAAACCATCGCACAACTATTGTGCGATTGTCGATTGTTTTGCAGTCAATTCAACTGTTTAGTTGCACAACTAAAACTCGAGTAGTGTGGGCACCTCCATATAAGTTCATAGGAACTAAAGCGGGACTAAACAGTTGTGCGATAGTTTAGTCCATAGCGCTCTTTAAGCTTGACCGAAATTTTTACAGTAACATACCAGAGCCAGCCAATCAGACGATTTCTACGTTTCATCTGATGAATTACGAGTAGAACATCCAAATATTTTTTCTAGTTACAGAAGCCAGCGGCTACAAATATCTCTTTAAAAGAAAACACGAACTAACAATGTTAATCCGTTATCCGAACATACGTTTGTACTCCAGACAGATTTCATTTGCGACGAAACGGCGCCGCGGTCAAGGCTTAAGACTATGTGGTTTTACTTTCACAGAGGCCATTGTGTCTTCGAGACGTACGAGATAAAGTTCCAGCCACCGCAAATGTTATTTATTGTTAGGACTTGTATCCGACATCAGACGATTTCACACTTTGAACTTTACCTTCATACTTTCATTACAGTAAATAATATCGTCGGAAACTTTGTATTATCAAATTCAACAATGGTCTTAAAGACTAACAATAGAACTCAGTCTCTTGTAGCAGAATTATCTTACTAAATCTACACTAAGCGACTGTTTAAGTATTTTAATCTATGCTACTATTATAAAGAGGAAAGATTTGTATTTTTGCATGTATTGAAATAACTCAAAAACAACTGGGCCGATTAAAAAAAAAATTACCATTGAAAAGCTACGTTTTCATTGAGTAACATATAATTTTTATTACTTTTAATTCCACGCGGACAAAGTCGTGAGCAACAGCTAGTACTTTATAAATCTTTGACCCCATCGATCACTAATTGTGTGATCGAATTTTAGACCAAATTTATTATGCAAATAGCATTTAGGTTATGATTATTTACTTATGGATTTATGAAAGGTTTTTTTCTGTTCTGTAAACAATAATCGAGTCAGTAATCTTATTTTATCTAATCCAAGCAGCAAAAGGAGCAGTTATAAATTACCGCCATTCGTTCTAGCTTCGTATAATTGAACAATGAGGCAAATAGTCGACATACGGGCATTGTCTGATATGGAGTACAATACCTAATAAATAACATTATTGCTTTCTAAGTGATTTTTAAGCTGAACGTGAATTGTAAAGTCATAGTTTAACTGGAAATAATTTGTTTTCTTTAGAAAGTAGCTGTTAAATAAACATTAAAACACTCAAATTAAAATACTATAGAAATATGAAATTTGCTATTGAAATTTTAATAATGTCTTACGTATATGATAACAATAAAAATAGTTTAAGTGAAAATATACGATAATATAGAAATTTCTATAAAGATTCTATCTTAAAAGAGAACTAGTAATTAAATATAGAATTATGCAGTTTTCTAATGCTATAATGCAGGCGATTTTAAAAGACTGTTATCAGTATGTAATCATGCATTAACATGAGCTAATTTTAATTAGACGTGTTAAGAGAAATCGTGCGATATGGATGGTCAATGCAACAGAATGCAACACAACACGACCGGATGAGATATAACTGTGTTTGCATATATTTGAATTATGCCGCGTATCATTTCAATTTGTTCGGGTAGTATTTTTATACTTATGAGCGGAATCGGAACGTGAAACGTTTTTCCCCCGTTGATGTAATCTTTTGAAATTAGATAGTTTGAGACGCAAGTAAATCTGCCGTTGAAGAAAAAAAAATTGCTATAAAAACCAACAAACCGTCAAACATTTACAATCTGATGCAATATAATT